TATTTGGTTGGTATTTATCATATTATTTATATGCTAAACAAGTCTATTACTGGTATTTTACAGCAACAATAAATAACAATTTTATTTTGGTATGGTAAAGATGATTTCTTATTTTCTTATACTACTACAGTAAAATATTTTGTTAAAAATGAAAAATGTAAATGTAAATCTAGCAAATATAAAGTAAAAATTTAAGATTTACCATGTAAACAGATAAGGATAAAGCTGTGACCTCGGCTGTGACTTATGACCAAAGGTCTCTTTTTAAGTATTAATTTAAAAATATATACATTACACACATATAAGATTATCACAATACAAATATACTGCTTGTTCTAGTGGTCATACAATGTTTGTTCCTGTTAAATAAGTTCCTTTACCCAAATATAGTATAAACAAAATTCTATTAAGCTTTATCATAATTCAGTAAATGTACACATTGTCAACATTTTAAACTATAAAATATCAATGGCACAGCTGCATAGGTAGTACACAAAGAGCAGGTCTAATTATTAATAAGTAAAAACCGGTAAAAATACTAAAAATCATAAAATATATAAGCAATAATTATGAAATATGTACCTACGTATAAACATTTAAAGTAGTGTAATATTATGTGTTAAGAGTTTGAGAATTAAATAAGATTTATAAATTCAATTTCAATTATAATTAAAGTACCTATAAACCATCACTCTCTGTTATCTGTCATCGTCCAAAAAAAGGCAAATGCAATGCAGGTCTTACTTCTCCGTAAAATATGGAACATTGCCGCTCAATAAGCTAGAGAACCTCAATAACCTCAAAGAAACAAAAGAAGATGACGGATTATTTTTTTTAGTATGTATTTTTGTATGAAAATATGTACAGATCTTAAAATATATACTTTTATGGTTAATTTTCTGTTACCCGTATATTCAGTTTACCGCCATAGTCCTGGTCTCGACAGTGATAGTTAATCGAGTTTCTACTGAACCTATTTAAAATATGATATTGTGATTCTCAACCAACAACAAAACTACACTTTAATGTCTTGTTTACTAAATAGGAAATAGTTATTGTTAATTATTGATTACAGTTTACAAACAGCACATAATCATAACAAAATTACTAATTGTAATTTGTAAATAATTAAAACAAGGATTAAAACTATCAAAGTCTATAATATAAACTTTTGACAAAATACCTATGTCAAGATACGAGTTAATATATGAATATAGTGAAATCTCTAAATACCGGACACACTTGATCACAGACATTTTGTCTGCTATTTAGAGGGTTCAATTTGTAGAAATTTTGTAGTTTGTTTTCAAAAAAAGTCTACAGTTTGGAGATGTCTGTATGAGCAAAGTTAAGAAAGACTTAAAATTTTTTGAACACATGTAGAAGAACAGTTTTACTATTCGCTCATAATTTCAAACTAAACTACACAACAGGAATTAGGATTACAATTTTAAACTTAATTAAAATTACATAAGAAAGTTATAAGTTGGGGAATTTTTTTTGTCTAATCCAACAAAAAAAACCTAACATTTAAAGTGACTAGAATAATTTTTACTTTTAATAAATTCATAATAAAACACTTACTGAAAATAGATCATTAGGAACCTACCTATTATGTGAATAAAAATAATGACGTTCGGATTAGGTATAAATTAAATGCAAGTATAACAATTATTATACGGCAATGGGCCGGACATGCGTGGCGAGCAGACGGATGCCTAATAAAGAAGTAATGACTTGGAAGTTAGCAGGGAGGAGAACAAGGGGAAGACCATGAATATGATGGATAGACAGCATAAAGTAGATATGGAATGCTGCAGACCATGGTGGGGCGGATTGGCAAGTTATAGCGTATGATAGAGAGAAATGGAGGTAATTTTGGAGGTAAAGATCCTCAATGGATTGTAAAGCCGGAAAAAAAAAATAACAATTATTAATAAATAAGTCATTCTAGGTATTCATATAATTTATTAATCCTAAAATAGTAAAATGTAATAAGTGTGTAATGGGTATAATATTCAGTTGAACAAATTAATTGACACAATTTTTGATACCAAATGAACATTTTAAATTATTGAATTATGTTAGTAAGACTATAGTTAAATATCTATTAAGGTATAATTAGTGCTTGTAATAGTTATATCATAGGCGTAGATAAGAGATATTTTGGGGAGAGGATAATATAACATTTTAGAACATTAAGATAAAATATATAAGAACCAATTTATAATAAAAACAAAATCTGAAATATCGGGGGAGGGGGATGTTGGAACACGCAAACTATCACCCATTGCCCATATATTTCATAGATGAAACCCTGGGGTAACTTGTTAGGTAATCAGTTTAGAATATGAATAAACTACTAACTACATATGTTATTTAATATTTTTCCAAGTTTTTTTTAGTATTACTTTAAAAGTAAAATTTCATTTTTTAGAATTAAAAAAAGACGATTTTATGATACATTTTTTCAGCAGTCTATCCACTATCCACTTCATTAAGAAATTTGGGGGAAATGTAAATTTAGGTTTTTTGTTTGAATATTGTAATTCTGTTAAATATTTATAATATTAAATACATAGTAAATTGTTTGATTTTAAATAAAATTGTTATCATGAATAATTTGTGTATCTTTTAAGAAAAAACTATTTAAATTAATTTTTTTTAGAACTAAAAACCTGATAAACAGTTATATACAAATAAGTAATAACCTTTAAATTATTACTTAAATTAATTTTCAATTATTTATCTAATTTAAAAAAAAATAAATCATATCTGGCCTTACTTAAAATTAATAAAAGTTTGTACCTAGGTAATAAATTGATTAATTTTCTTTGCATATCTATACTTATTTTTTTTGCTCATTGATGTAGAAAAGTAAATTTTATAATGAGTACCATCCGAGGTACCATCAGACTAAAACTTGATATAAGAAATTTATTTCTACCATTACCATTCTATAATTAGTTACTGCATTTTAAACTTTATTTAAATGATTAGCTAGGTACTTAGATTCCATATTATACTAGTTAATAGACCATAGAAGCAATTTAAAAGTATTATGTAGGTAGGTACCTAACCTATCTAGTTAGTTAAAAAAAAAAAATGTTAAAACTTTAACCTTATATATTAGTCAGTCTGGGTTAAATGAACTCTTATTTTTTAAATTGAAACTAGCAGTATTTTATGAAATATTGAAAATACAAATTTGTGGTTGCGCGATTGTTATTCACACCCAGAAGTCAGTGTACAAATATTTTATAACTATATGGAAGTCCTAGAAGTTAAGATTAAGTCTTGGATGTTACCAGAAGTCTTGGAAGTCTATAAAAAATCTTGGAAGTTAAGTTAGTAGGAAGTTGGGTGTGCGTAATGGTGGTTGCGTTTGTTTAAGATTAGACAAGTCAAGAATAAATGAATAAAAAAATAAAAAAATACTACCATAGTCTACCTTATGTTTACAACAATAATTAAAGACTATCATAATCAATTATTGTTATCAACCAGTTATCAATAACTATAGTCAGTATAGAAAATAACAAGTTATACTAAATGTCAATTTTATTAATATGGTATTAAACATCATTTAAAATCAACAATATATAGAAAGTATAAGATACTAACAATTTAAAAAAAAAACTCAATGACCCCCCCAATAAAATAGTTTCAACTATCTTTATCACCAAAAGTGTATTGTTCATTTTTCCCATTTTTAAACATCATCTTGTCGAATTTAAACTCGTAGTTCAAAAAAAAATTTTTGGAAATATTAGTTTTATCTTTAATTTTATATTGTAGGTACTAGAGATGGATATGATAATATGACATTTTTTTAAATGATTTATCTTAAATTTCCAATTGTCACACAATGTCTTGTGTTCTGATCTAATCGGAAATGACCAAAATTACGATAGATTTGCAAAGGTCTAAAGTTCAATAGGTAGGTACATGCTGATTGCTGGTATATTATTTTTTTTAAGTACAATATTTTTCTATATTGTGGGACATGGGTCAAAGGTGAAAAATTACCAGTAATTTTCTTAACAATTAGGATTAAACTGTTAGAATTAAACTAACAAAAACCATAGAGAAAAATGAATGTTTACAATAAATCAGTTTTTGACAAAATTGATTTTTAGTTTATACCTTACCTTATCTTTGAGAATTAATAACTTAAATTGTTTGTTTTATAACCACTTATTATACCTAGATGATTAATATGTTTTTTGTTTGCATCTTTTATCTCTTGTATTTAATAACCTAAATTTCCTATTTGTATTATTGTACATGCGATTAACATAGTTGATAATTTTTAATACCTACTCTCTTTGGTAGGTAGCTACCTATCTAATTATACAAGTAAAACAGTACCTTTGTGAAGTTATCAAATTTGAAATTGGTAGCATTACTCTGATTTTCTCAATATAAATCGACTACTCTATAAGTCAGACTATAAGTAAGTGTTGTAAAATGAAATATATCTTAAAATAAAACTAACTTTTTGAAAATGTTGGATAAACCATGATAAAGATCATTATAGGATTAACAATATCAACAGTTAGAGATTACACAGTTTCAAATAGATTATGGTTAGGTACTATAAAAAAACGTACCTATTTTTATCATTTAAATTCATATTATAAAGGGAAAGGGGAATTAAATATTTTTACATAATATCGAGCATAATATTATATATTTTATCCAGGTAGATAGAAATTATGAATAGGTATAACAAAAGAAATTTAACAGCATCTTTAAACTGCATGTCTTGGCTAGACAATGTTTTTTTTTAACGAGTTAAGCAACACTGCGACAGTGTACGATGACAAATTACTATTATTCAGAGAAACGAAATAGCCCAAGAGTCAAGCATTTCTCAGGGTGGAATAGTTTGTTGCGAAAACATACCACTGGACACCAGTATTGCAATTTGCAACCACCTACGCATTACCCTGAAGATCTGACCTAGGTGTAACACTCATAACAGGTGCAGTACTCACCCATAATTCCGTTCCCCAACTCATCGTTCGCTGTTTTTCCACATCAAACCACCAAACAGGTGCCAAAGACTCCAATCCAGGTAGTTATTAGAGACGGGTTTTTTTTTATCCTTTTCACTTCGACCCGGTTTGGGAGTAAAACAAGATATCCGAACGGAGAACAGACGCACTACGAAGGTGATACCGAATCCGTCACTGCAATCGACGGCAGCGGCAGCAGACGACAAGAGGAGAATGCGACATATTTTAATTGAATGAAATATATTATGATCTCGTCGGTCGTTAATACACAAGAAAAAATTAGAAAATTAACCGCAAAAAACGAACGGCGAAAGAGGAAACTGGTACACTGCCGAAAATCGAAACAAACAACAAACAACGAAGACGAGTGCGCGAAACGGGTGCGACGAACGAACTGATAAAAGCGTAAAAAAAGAAAAAGAAAATGTTAAAAACGTACGACGTCAACTTTACTGCGGCGGCGAAACGACGACGACGTCTGGCGGTGTCAGTGCGGCACAGTTTGTTTTGTTTCCATACCACGGCTACCGCCGTTATTTCTTTTTATTCCATGAACCAGAACCACTCCACTCGTCGCTTATCATCAATTCGTTCGTCGTTGGTCGGTCGTCCGTAGAATAATATAATATCGGTAATTAAATTTAAATTTTCAATTCGTTGAATAATATATTACAATATGCGGTCGTTCCATGGGACATGGGCCGCTATTGTAGCAATATATCATGAGCCTTGTATTAAATTTTCACGCTTCTTGGCCAAATAAATTATCCGAAAATAGCTCAAAATGAGTCAAAATATTTTGAATATTATATTTTATGGTCTATAGAAAATGAAAATAAAATCATTCAGTTAAATATTCATGTATTTACAGCTATTCGCTTTTAAATTACAACAAAATTAGAAAATCATTACATGAGAAATCCAATGTTGTAAAGATATGAACTTCAAACTAAGTTAGACAAACGTATCTATGAGGAATCTTGTATTACATTTTAAAACCTTAAATTTAAAAAGAAAACTTCTTATGTATTTCTTAAATCAAAATAATTTGCAAATTACTGTAATTTTTACGTATTTTGTCAAGATTTGAATTTTAAATGCTTATAAAAAAAAATATGTGTTTATGAATTTTTAATATTTTTCAAATATCATTGCAACAATATATTAGGAGTCTTGTATTAAATTTTCAAACTGTTTTACAAAACAAATACAATTTTATTGAGATTCATAGAAATAAAACTAAAAAATTTGAAACTAAAAATGTTCGTAAACTTCAAAGTAACTTCAAACCAAATCAATTTTTTTTTTAATTTTATTGTGTATAGAAAAAGTTAATATTACCAACCGGTGAAAATTTCATGTATCTACTGTTATTTTTTTTAGAGTTACCAATTTGTCGAAAACCAGGGGCGTCATTTGGGGGTGGGCAGGGTGTGCGACGGCACCACTAACATAATAGAATAAATAATTGGCCCTCCATTAATACTGCTATGCACCGATATGATTACTATTAAAAATTAATAAAATATTCTTGGTCCAGTGGCGCTGAAGTCCAAAATTTTAACTATGACATTAGACACCTCTACATAAAATGTTGACACCCACCTATTTATTATAATTACCTTACCATACACCAAGTAAATATATATTTTAGCGCCACTGATTCATGCATGTAATTTAAATGTATTGTTTTTATCAGCTTTATCAGCTTTATTATCAAATGTATCCATATTTTATAACCATGTGAAGCGAGTCTTATTCTGTGGTTTTGTTATGTAAGACAGTTCGTGTCAGCCTGCTGGTATCAGCTATAGTGGACTAGTGGAGTAAGCATAGCATAGCTGATAATACATTAGAAACTGTAGAAAAATAACTAATAATATGTTATTTTGTATGAATATTGAAAAGTATTTAATTTTTGAATTACATTTATTAAAAATAATTCCTTAAACCGCATTTGCCTTTAATTCTCCAAATAGTAGTAAAATGGCTTCTTTTTGCCGATAGTTTCTACTTGTTTTAGTTGCTTACATGTTTTTATTAAAAGCCTTCTAATACATTGAACTGTTAGCTATTTGAAAATTACAATATAAATTAGTTGATATGAGTAATTTTTTATTAGGATTATAAATGGGAAGGAGGTAATATTAACATACTTAAATACTTTAAACGGCATGGTTATTGTATAGATATCAATGTTAAAGTTGGCCTGGTTAAATGTTAAAATTTGCCTGCCTAAAATCTTGCACACCCGGAAAAAAAAATGAAATGACGCCCCTGTCGAAAACTGATTTTACTTAAAAATTCCCGTTTTTCCTTCATTTTTCATTTTTTATTTCATTCTGCCCTGCGCTGTCAAAAACTTAGTATTTACTTTTAAGTTTTAACCCACAACTAGATTCACTTTCCTATCACTTATCAGAAAAGATAATGTTGAAGAAAATCTAAGCATTTTTACTATCCTAAAAAGTAAAAAGGTGCTCTGCTATAGGTACAGTAGGTTACAAGTGGGTCACTGTATAATGGATGGTATTAAATTTGAATTCAATGATATAATATCATTGTATAAAAAAAACGATCCTGAGCGGAGGCCGGAGACGGTATGTCAGTCTAAATATACTTACTCAGTACTCTTATATATAAGACATATTATGTACTTATCTATGGTATTAAAAAAAATACCTATAATAAATTCCAAATTAATCATATAACAATATCCATTAGGTACTTATTACACGTTATATATCAACAACAAACCCTAATACTATAATATAGATATATAATAGTGCACTTTAGAAGTTTCAACTTTCAAGTACCCACAGTACCCGCATTTTATTTTTGTTTGTGTGTCTGTCATCACAGTTTGAGACAGTAAAACTGCTTCGATTTTCTTCAACAGTATATCTTGTTCGATGAGAAATTGAATCTAGTTGGTGCATTCGGGAGGTCAAATTTTAAAATCCCCAATAGTTTTCACAAGCACTGGGAAAAACAACATACAAATTAAGGAAAAACGGGAATTTTTAAGCAAAATCGGTTTTCCACAAAATCGATTTTGGTTTTTGGTGTAACTCTAAAACAAATGAATGTATATACATGAAATTTTCACTGGTTGTTTATATTTGCATTTTCCATACACGATGAAATTTTCAAAATATTATCAATTGTTTTTAACTGTTTAGGGACATTTTCATTTTCCGTTTTTTTTTTAGTTTTTTTTCTAAAAATATCAATAAAATGTTATTTGTTGGTTAAAAAGCTTGAAAATTTAATAGAAGGCTCCTAGTATATTGTTTCAACTTTCAAAGGCAGATGAAAAATATTAAAAATCCTTAGTCACAGTTTTTTTTTTATAAGCATTTAAAGTCCAAAAATTGACAAAATATGGAAAACTCACGAAAATTAGCAAATTATTTTGAGTTAAGAATTCATAAAAATTTTTCTTTTTAAATCTAAGATTTGAAAATGTAATACAAGATTCCTTATAAGATTATCTACCTTTATCAAAAAAAAAATATTTTGACACTTTTTGAGCTCTTTACGGACATTTTCAGTTTTCAATTATTTTGGTTTTTTTTTTCTATAAATATCAATAAAGTTTTATCGGTTGGGCCAAAAAGTGTAAAAATTTAATTCAAGGCTCCTGATACATTGTTACAATATCAGTTGAAAAATATTAAAAATACATAGGCACAATTTTTTTTTATAAGCATTTAAAGATCGAATTTCGACAAAATTTATCAAATCGAAAATTATCAATCATTGTAATTAATAAATTATAAAATGTTTAGTTTTTAAAGCTAAGGATTACAAATTTAAAACAAAGGTTCTCATAAATAGTTCATACTGTAACCAAAAAATCTAAAAAATATATGAACACAGTTATTTTTTACAGACATTTTAAATTCAAAATTGGACGAAATTACATAATAAAAAACCTAGAATAACTATTTTAGTTATTTTGTTGTGATTGTATAATATTATTCCTGGGTACTTGAAACTTCTAAGGTACTCTATTATATATCTATGATAGTATCAGGGTTTTTTGTTGATATATAACGCGTTATAAGTACTAATGAATATTGTGATATGATTAATTTGGAATTTATTATAGGTATTTTTAAGAGTTGCACCAAAAACCAAAATCGATTTTTTCGAAAACAGATTTTAGTGGAAAAATTCCCGTTTTTCCTAAATTTTTATTTTGTTTTTCACGCCGCTTTTGAAAACTACTATTGAATTTTGACCTACTTTTGACCCCCAAAGTACCAACTAGATTCATTTTCCTATCAGAAAAGTTACTGTTGAAGAAAATCCAAGCACTTTTACTGTCCTAAAACGTGATTACAGACACAAAAAAAAAAAAAAAACACACATCATTGTAAAACCAATACATTCATCGTTCCACTCAGAATCTAAAATACTAAATGTATATATATATTTTTAAAACATGAATTATTATTGTATATTTACTATCCATATTTTCAAAATAAAATATACATAAAATCATATTTAAAGAGTACCTATCTAATTTGTCACAAGACCTTTTATAAAGTTTTATGGCTTATGCTCATGTTTATACTTTATTAACAAATAATTTATCAGAATTGACTCCGACAGTATGATAAAATAATTGATGAAGTGGCTTTATAAAGTATATTGTTGAAAAAATTATTATCGTATTAAAATGATTGTATTAAAACGAAAATGATTAACAGTAGGTATACCCGCATTTGTTGGCTCCTTCTAACAAGTGTGTAATAGCCATAGGAAAATTTATGCTCAATCGTTAACGTTTGACTCCATTAGTTTAAAATTAGAGTGACTCAACCGTTATGAAATAATGTTATGACATTATCTGTGTTTTTATTTGGATATTTATTACTGTAATTTGAATTTTAGCGAGTACCTACCGCGTACTCAAAATAGAGCAAATAAAATGATCACTACTTGCTTAAGAACTGAATTATCGTAAAATAACTACTGCCAAAAGAACACACATTATGTTCGAATCATCAACTTTTATAATAGGTTATTCACTCTAATTTTTAAACTAACGAAGCCAAAGTGCTAAACGTTTACTGTTGAGCTTAATGTTACTGTGTTCAAATGCTGGTGTAGCGTTCTTTCAAAAATTATTTGTAACTGCATAGGCGCCAGGTTTTTTAAAAGTCAATGGGGACCGAACTTAGTATTTCTTAGCCTTAACTTTTGCCCTTCAAAATAATTTAAATGTGTGGTTAAAGAGTAGTGTGACGCCGGAAGGGGAGTAGGGAACTACTTATAACACAAAATAAATTTGAAATATTCATTTACTTTTTATTTTATTTTAATAATATCACATTAATTTAAAGAAAATGTATTCTGTCCAACTTTTGTTTTATTAATAAAGTGGTTAGCAACAATTGATAGATCGACATCTTTATGAATATGGATCATATAGAATGTCATTTAAACGTGATTGTCCCATATGGTCGATCGTAAAAATGTTTTTAGTCTTCGAAGTTCGGAAAAAGCCATTTTAGCTGTACAAGAAGATACTGGGATAATTAGTACCTATATAATATTCTTACCAGTTTATTAATTAATTCTGGTAATAGGTCACGAAGTGTTTATCATTTTTTAAAAGTCCAATAACATCTTGAGAATTATTAATAGGAATTTTTCTATACTGAGCTAGGTATATCCACCTTTAATCTTTTATCTTTGGGTATATCTAAGAACATACCTATCTCTATGTGGTTTTAATTAATTTTTGTGAAAATCTGTTCCATAAAAATCAAAAATATTTGTATCTATGTTTGTACCAATTATATATTTTTCTAAGAATGAAAGATGTTCAATAACATTTTTCTGAAATCGCTCATTTAATGAAAATAGAGTAACATCATAGATAAGTATATAGAGTAAAATCAACAATATCAGAATATAAAGTCCTATATTGATCTTCAATAGTTGGTAAAGTGTATCAGTGTATGATTCGACTCCTTCTGTGTAACCTTTTGGTGTTTTTTTTTTTTACTGTTGGTGTGTTGGGATTTTCAAACTCAGCTCATTTGATTTTGAAATTGATTCATTCCAGATTTAATAAAAGCCAGAATTTCTCTGTTCTTGTATAGACTTTTATACAATTATTAATTTTGTGTTGAGCTTTTTAAAAACTGAAAGCACAATGAAATTTTTTTCTAGTTGTGCGTTAAGAATTTCTATTCTGTCAAAAATACTGATCATATTATTTAACAAAAATAAAAAATCTAATTTCATTATTTGTTTAAAAAAGCCACTTACTTAAGCACCACTTTCATTTTTTTATTTTTGATATGTCACTTAAAAATTCAATCAAAACTGCAGTTTTTAATGAACAATGCGCAAACACCAACAAGTAGGACAAAATGGACGTAAAGATCTAGAAGTTAATTCATGTTCAACTTGATGTGAGTTGAATATGGCTTGTCTTTTAGGTGAGTAGTGCAGCCGATGCCACAATATTCATATTCATATTATCATTATAGTTTCATTATTAACAATGTTCTCAAATCACAGATATATTATTCCGTAAACACAGTTTGGCAAACTCAATCTTTTCAATGGGGGTTATGGCCCCCGACCACCCATGCAGTTGGCGCATATGTTTGTAAGTACCCATGATTTTAATACATAGTTTGTAATAGCGGTGTATTTGGAAGTAAAGTTCTTATATTAAACATGTAATGTGGGCAAAGTGATTACATTTTTTTCAGTTTGGTGGGCTCTAAAAATATTTCCCTGTAAAAAAAATATTACCTATCCACTCCTGATTATAAGTCTTACACCTATGCCAATATAACAATATCTTATACTAGATTTAATGAGAAAAATAGATTATAATAATTTAGTAATTACTAATCAGTATAATAGTAGGACAGTAGGTACATAGGTTTTTAGAATAATTTTTATCTTAGAAGTATTCAACTCTTGAGTTTGAATTTAATCATAATATGTATAGCCTATAGGAATACCAGCTTAAACTTGTTTATTGACAGAACTTAAAGCAAAATGGTTATGAAAATATAGGCATTTATTAGTTACAAAAATAATAAATTTTAAAGTACAATAAATGTATGAATATAAGAAGAGACAATCAAAATATATATTAATTATAGAAAATGATACAAAAAAAAAAACTATAATTTACATAAAAATATTATTTTACAATTCATAGCCAACATTTGAAACAATACTAAATCATAAAATGTATTAATTTTAATTTAGTCAGATATTAATACATATCTGAAATGTAATTTATTTCTAACACTATTTATTTGACTCTTCAACAGTTCAACATAATCAGCATAAACTAGCTTCTCTACTACCTCATAACTAAACTAACTGACATTATATTGTCGCTGCAAAAAATAACTAGTATATAATAAAAATTAAAAATATAAAACCTATATATTATACTCTATTCCAAATAAGATCAGGCTTCGGCGGCCGAGTTGTACGTATGGACATGGCTTTGTTCCCGCGGCAGCGTCTGATCTGCCGCAGTCGTGAGGATGGCGTCCGACCGTTGTGGAACGAAAACTGGTCTCCGCTAAAGCTTGATCTTATTTGGAATAGAGTATAGTCATACCAAACTTGATGTTTCACCTTCAACATGTATAAGTTTTTGGGATGGATAAATATTTTTTTCTAACCGATTTTGTTGTCATGGTTACTTATAAACAAAAACAAGCATGTAATTCATAGATTTTCCTTGTAGAGGAAAAATATTGAGTAACGTGCTATGGTTTTTTTTTTTTATATAATAATTATTAATTAATTATACAGTAGTCAAAAATAAGAAAAGTTGCTTTAAGAAAGATTTTAACATTTAACTAAATAATTAATACTATTTAAAAGAAAAAGAAAACAGACATAAAAATAGACAACCCTAAACATATTGACTTCATTAGAATGTTTTGTGATAAGAAGATATTAAAACATTTTAATGTGAAATAGTAATAATTTTCAAAGAAATAAAGATAAGTTTTTAGAATAAACACAAAAAAAAAAAAATTGTATTTAGAACACACGAAAATTATTTCAGGTCATAATATCATTACTCATTAGTCATTAGTATTAACTATCATATATTGATTTTTATTTAGCAATGTCCCTTGGGTTATGCAATCCAAAATCCATTTTTCATGAATATTATCATTCATTTGTGGTGTAGACCCAACTACGACATTGGCCTTAGTCTCAGTGCTTGTACAATGGCCACCACATGCACGCACCAGTCGTCTTAAGAGTTTAGCATGGGGCTCACAGGTATTTGATATGTATATCCTGCCAACGTTATCAAATATATTAAATGTCATTAATGACCCAAATGTATGACGACGTAATTGAAATTCCTTTAAAATAAAAAGAGACATGTTTAAAAATCAATAAAATACAAGTGAATTTAGAATTTTACTTTGACGGGTTCAGATAAATCTGAGATCAAATATTGTTGATGAGATAACCATCTTCCATTTTTGTGTGATTTGTGTACCTTAATAAAAAAACAACATTAAGTTTTCTCAATTTTATTTTATACAACAATTTAATATGTCACAAAACTAATAAAGTTATTAAACTAGTTTTTGTGAAATGTGTTACCCAATCTTCAGAAACAATGAAACATCCATAGGCCATTGCAAATACAATATTTAATGTTCGTTTTGGTTGTGATTTGGTAACTAAATAAGTGGTCGAAGGTTCCACCTTAGGATGAAAAATAAATGTTCCTAAGTCTTGTATACATGACTTTAAAATGTTTGTTTCACTGCTCAAACAAAAAATTTATAATAAAATATTATGAATATTATGTTTGTATAATTTTGTTTTACTTTTTTACCTTTTCGTCATTCCACTACATGCAATTGATTGCAATATAACAGGGCTAGCTAAAGAGGCTTTTGGTGTCTGGAAAATTGAAGAAGAATTTCTGGACATTAAACCAGAAACAGTGTCTTTGGTTTGAGTCATTTTCACATTTTTTACTTTTTGAACGGTGACTTTTTTAGTTTTTTTCGGACGTAGATCTGTAGGTATTTCCCACTTTAAGGAATTAATTTTAACATTTTTTTGTGGTGTTATTTTATTACTGTTTAAGTTTTTGGTATTGGGTAACAATTTATTATCAACCCTTGTTTTCCGTTTTTTTGTACTAATTAATCTTGATGGAGCACTGATTCTCAATTTTTCAGGTGACGGAGTTGGGAAATCACTAACATTGCTCATGTTATTTAAATTATTATCGGAAGGAAATAATAGCTTACGAAATCGTTGTCTAGCTTGGGAATTTAAATTTAATCGATCTTCAATTTTAGCTAGTTCACTATCTAGTTCTGTACAAGTTGTATTCTCCTTTCCATTAGGTGTGAGATATTTTCTTAATACTTTAAGTGACATTGGTATATATAACTCATCAATTTGATCATCTGGTACTGGACTATCAATTTTGTTTAACACTTTACATAGTTGATCAGATAACATATTGACAATATCATTTGTTTCATAAGGACCATCCTATAAATACAAATAAAACTTATATTAAAACAAGTAAACAGTATACAAGTATAATGAGGTAGACTAAAGACTTACTAGTTTGTTTACAGTTGTTTTTTTGGGGGTCCCAACAATAAAACAGTCTTCATTTTTATTATTTTGGTTCACATTTAAGTTGTTAAATCTTTCCATAATTTGATCACATCTGGATTTAAATATCTGGTCACGTTCAATATTACTTTGTCTTAAAAATTTTTTATATGTATGGCCTACCTGAAAATATATTATAATGTATATATTTTTATATAAATGCATATTTATTTATTTAAACAATCTTCAATAAGACGGGTTTGACAAGTTCATACTAGGGTGTTGGGGCCCATGAGTTCACAATTTTGAATACAATATTTATAATATTTAGAAAGTATGAATCGAATAAAAAGTTAATTAAAGTACCTAAAATCAAAATGTCTTTTAAAAACTAATTAGATTAAACAATGTCCAGAACTAAAAATTATCAACATTAAATTTATTTTAAATTGTATAAATTGATTAAATACCTAACACAAAATCAAGGTAATATAACTAAAATGATCATTTGACAACTATTATTAAAACCTTGTCTGATGAATATCTGCAACAGCAAACAAAATATAATATTATAAATTAAATCCTACATTATATATAATATTATAGACATTAATAATAACAAGATTTAATTAAAACATGAGCAGTGAGGATTAAAGTTTAATTAAAAATTAAATACATAATTTAAATATTGAAATTTACTTACTGGAATATTAATATTTTTTAGGGGTGTTTTTTTTGTGTATTTTTCCAAATCAACAGGTGGATAGTCTTCTGGTTTCAACATCTTATTAGCTAATTTACTGTACTCCATCCATCTTGCTGACACTAGTGGGATGTTACGTTTGATTGCTTTATTATATGTACTACGGTAGCCATCACAAAACATCACATGGGTAACCTAAAATCATAAATAAGACATATTAAAAATAATTGTTAAAAAAATTAATAATTGATTAAATTACTTTTTGATTGAATGTTTTTTCAACTTTGGCACCCATCTCAATGAGGCATTCAATAATGCTTGAAGCACTGCGATCGTTGTCAAGTTTGTAATCAACAAATGCTACAACTCCTAAATCATAAATACATACATTTTTTTGAGTATAAAAATCAAAACAAAAAATTTGGAATAGGCACACACTTAACAACAACAAATATAAAAATTCAAGATTTTTATGTATTATTTAGGGATAAAAAATAATATATAAAAATTCAAACCTAAGCTAATCTGGGTTAAAATAATTTAATATTTTCATGTAAGAATAACGAGAACAATTTTTAATATTTTAAATTATTAAGAACTTCCAAAAATACAATTATTTTTATATTGTTATTTATATTTAATACAAATAACTAGTAAGAGTTAATAATTCATAGCATTTTTTAAGTAAAAAAAAATTAAAAAACAGCAAGTTTGAAATCGGGAATTTTTGTTGTAATTTTTCCATACACATTATCCGAAAACATGAGAAAATCAGGTAATCTTTTGAGTACAATCTAGGAAGATTTAGTTAGTTGGATCACTCATTCTAAATTTCTACCCTAGAAAATTGATCACATGTAAGTATAAAGAAAAAAACCAATGTAAAACTAATACATCCCTCACATTGTTCAGAATTAAATAAATTGTTACAACTGTGATAGAAATTGAAAAAGTTTACATGATCTATACTCTAAAAGTAAATAACATGCTGAACTGGAGGGTATAATTGAATTAACCATGTTTAAGACTAAGTCAATGTAAATATAATTTAAATATTTTACTGTAATAATAATCTATATATTATAGATATTTTAACATCAAAATCTAACAAGGATTTATTTTATAGAAATATGTTTATGAGTAGTAATTAGTATAGGAGTTATAATAAATGATTATAGGTGCTATTAATGAAAATTTACCTTCAAGAACTTGTCGAGATTCCTTATCATTATCATTATTGTTTGAATTTGTTGTAGACTCATTTCTTGTACTTTTTATAGGACTGTTTTCTAAATTTTGAATTCCACTGACATTAAGATTATCACTTGTTACAACTGAAATGTCACTTGAACTCTTGTTTACACCCATTAAGGAGTACAATTCTATTTGCGCCTCTTTCATTAATTTCATGAAATTTGGGGTAGGAATAAACACCCTTTTTGGTTTCATTATTGGACTAATTTCTTCATCGGATTGTTTCTTTTTCTTTGATGTTGTCTTTTTATTTGATTTATTTTTAGCTTCTGTATGACTGACAAATTCATCTGGCGGTATAAGTTCACCAAACAAGTCTCTATGCCCTTTCAATGATGTTTGGGAATCTTCGATCACTTGTAACTCAGAATCTATGATCAAATCGAAATTATGATCCAATTCTATTTCATCAGAATCGTCAATAGCTAGTTTTCTTTTTTTACGGTCACTGACTCGTTGCAATACTTGTCGAGGATACGTAATTGGACCTGACATAATCGTAATTATACACGGTTCTGTATTGGCCAAATAATAATAATAATGATTGAAGTCACGTTAATGTAACTTTTATGCTTGCCGAATGAACTCTGAATTCAGAAGTACAAAAATTTGTAATTCGTACCTATGAACTCAGAGTTCGGAGATTGAATATTTGCCGTACGTTCAACTAAATAGAAAAGTCAGTCAGCTTCCGTTCATCCAACAGCAATCTATTACTGTATTACTGTAGCAGTAACAGTAAGTAAGTAAGTTCAAGTCACCGCACCTGCAAGTTGTAGTGTTGAACTGTAAAGTGTAAGTTGTCCGTTATAGACTTGTAGTCGTCACTGATTCTAAGTTATCATATCGTGAGATAAACTGATAAAGAAATGTCCGTTACAAAAACGATTGAGTTTATTGTTAATTTTACTGTTAACAGTTTTTACTCCATGATATCTGAACCCGGTTGGTTTTAAATTACCAACAATTGTAAACAATACTGTAGTATTAAATATTAATCACAGATTTATCATATAATATAGTACAGTAATAAATAATATAGTGTAGAATGGACAGGGATGTGTACAAAAAAGAATTTTGTGAGGGGGGTGGAGGTTTGAACCCCCAAACACCCCTGTATACTTGCCTGAGTACAGAAGCCTGTGGTATTAATTAATACTATAGTATCTGATACTGTGGTATTAATTAATACTATAGTATCTGATACTATCTAAGGGCATGCTCACGAATAAAGATAATGATGGCCGTCTTAAGGGTAGGTGGGGTAATTGAGATTAGCATGCAAAATGCAAATTTTAGAATTAAAATTATAACTAAACAAATCAAATAGACGGTTGCTGATAACTACTAAAACTCAAATGCAATTTATTTGTGAAGGATTTTTAAATATTTTAGTTGTAATAATATGAAGTTTGAAATTATGGTACCTATGCGTAAAAGGTATGAAGGTCTACTCTTGGACATTTATACTCAAATAATATATAGGTATTTATTTTGTTTTTAATTTGAATTTTATGCTTCGTTAATAATAACACTTATCAATAGAAATACTAAAAAAATATTCGGGTTTGTAGTTTAAAATACAAAGAGAAAAAAAAAGAAATCGAAACATGTTAAAAACAAGTAATAAATACAAGGCTTTAGCCAGTAAAATATATTTATTTTTTGTGGGAGGGAGGGGGGGGGGTTCAGAGTTATATTATATAGTAAAATATGAAGTTGTAAAAATATCATTTAAATTATGAACATGCCATTATTTTTAAATATCGGTAACTACAGTATCTTATATTTCTACCTTAATTATAATTTATTATAGGTACTTTAGTTACTAAAGTTTAGTATACAAGTTAAATATATATAGGTATATAAAATGTACCTATATCAAAAAAATAAAAAAATATATAACGTACTACAATACTTCTATACTAATTTAATTTTCCTTGAAGCATTTGAAAATCTATTGATAACTTGTTCAGTGTCAATTTCAGTATCTCTGTGCACACTCTGACCCCCATAAGGGCTAGTCCTACTAATATTTCTTGCCCGGTTCTATTTCTTAAAAAAGTTTTGAGGCTTTTTAAAGTTGAAAACGCCCTTTCCGGTGTGGATGTTGATACTAGAAAAGTCCCCAACACATTTAATAAACTAATACTAGGTAATATTTGCAAACTTTCCAACATCGAGCATACTAACAGAGTTAACCGTTACTAACTTATTGCACTGACCTTCAACTTCCATGTGACTATTAGAATTTGAAATTTCTAAGCTGTCAATTTTTCGTTTTTTTTTTGATTTTGGCTCAGTTGGAATCCAAGATGATAAATTGGATTGTGAAGACTTATTCATTTTTAATAATAATTAACGTTCCGCTTGCGAAGGTATTAAAATGAAAAATGCACGAACTTTTAATGTGAACAACAAACTAAGCAACGCCGTCTACTCGTGTAGTTGTTTGCATGATTGAAAGCGCTCCGTGATTACTGTAGACAATATAGCTTAAGCAAAATTTATTATACTGCTGACTGCTCTACTGGCCATCGATTACCAAAATAATTAAGATTAGATGCCGTGGGTATTATGTGAGCTATACAATTAGTTAGGTTAGTTAAAGTACATTAAGATTAGGTATCGCTTATCTAACACAATATAAATATAAAATATACCATTTTATTTACTTGTATCTTATGACACATGTACGAATGTACGATTACAAGTTTCAAATGTAATACTCATTTAAAACATTAAAACCATTCAATTTTATTTTAAGCCTGAACCCTACCCCCTCCTGGTTACGGCCTTGAATACATAATAGCATTGAGTATAGATAGTATAGATAATATCTGTACTCAATGATAACTGAAAATGCTGAAAAAAAATAAAACTAAAAATGTCGTCCCATTTTCTTAAGAGGATGAAGAGGATAATTACAATAATAATTAATATCAATATTGTTAAATTAAAAATTAATATTGTTCTGTGTTAATATGCTAGCGGCACCACTGAATCTTAATACCACTTTTAATGGGGCAGTGAATACAGAGGCGGATCTAAGAATTTTTACGCCCGGGGAAAATATTAAAATTAAGCCCAATCATAGACCAAGATTGAAAATACAATATCATTCCCTACAATTGTTTTATCATAACTGGAACTAAAATTACAAACATACTTATTAACTTTTAAACACATAATAATAATTAATATATAGTAATTAATATATTCTGTGGACTGTGGTGTAACCAAGTTTATACTAATAAACTATCACACCAAAAACACTTTAAATTTAAAAACTTAGTCAACATATTGTTGATACATTTTTAATTACTGGAAATACTGTAGTGGTTACTTAATTGTATTTATTATTAGAAATAATAATAATATTAGTTATATATAAATGTTGAAAAATAATCAAAACTTTAATTACCTACCTATCCTGTATAAAAATTATAAACCCTTTTGCTGTTTTGGTTCTATGCGCCTCAGCCTTCAATTATAATAGATTTTTATGGTAAAATATAAAATCTTTTATTCTGATTAGGGTACACAATTTAGGCCAGTAAAAAATTGTATTTAATTAAACAATTTATAATAGAAAAAATTAAAAAGTAAATATTAAAATCAAATCTTTTTTTTAAACATAAACAAATGTATAACTATCTTGGTAAATATTATAATATATAATATTATAAACTATATATTAACATCATTTTTAATATACAGATATAATATACGTATCGTACGTTGATTGATAATCTTATAACAGTTATTGTGTAGGTATCAGAAATTTTAACGAAAACACAGCATCAATAAATGCCTAGGTATAGTTACTAGTTACATTTTCACTCAGAATCTTAATAATTATAGTATATTAGTTGTATATGCTTGCAGTAGGTATGCTAATGCCAGTATACCGCAGTATATACTTAGTATACTAATACGAATCTATTCATAATACCATAAACTTTATTTTTTTTTTCATTAATTCCAACGTCATCACTACAACATCATAAACAAATAATGTGAAATAAAAATGTTTTCTTAACTTCTATCACCAAGCATTAAATAAAGAACTAAAGAAAAATTACGCCCAGTAAAATTTTACGCCCGGGGATCAATCCCCGGCTTCACCCCCCTAGTTCCACCACTGAGTGAATATTAGGTATAGCTGCAATCATTATTTAGTATTATTATTATTTGATTTACTTTGGTTTATGCTGAATGCTGATTGCTCACTATAATTTTATATATGCGAACGTATATTGCCAACTGCCATATGCCAAGGTAGAGTAAGTGATGGAAATATTTTGAGGTGTTTGAAAAAATAAAAAAACAATAGCTTAGGAGTTCTAAAAGCATCAACCTATTACCTCATATAGAACTATGAATGTACCATACGTTACTAGTAGTCATAGTTTCTGATAAAGCATTAATTGCACTCACCGAAAATATTTTTAAGCCTTTTTCTGGAACCCATGCTAAAAATCTAATACCTAATATTATTTATTACTTTCTAATTAGATTTTATGGGAGAATAGTGAAAAATATTTTTATAATTCGTTCTTCAATATTTCGTATTTTACGTAAACCATTACAATTAGAGCTTGAAAAAGTTGAAATCATTGTGATGGCTGAAGTTTATTTGAAACAAGTACTTACTTTTTAATAAAGAGTGTGTTAAATATCAATTTAAAATTTAAACCTACCCCAAGTTAGAGGGTATCTACACTGGAGGGCCTCTCTCCTCACGCCATTGATGTTCTGTTCCATCAATTTTTTTTTTTTTGCTATCAAATTTACTTATTGTTGTAAATAAATATTACAGATTGTAAATACTTGTTTTTATTTAATAAAAAAAAAAAAAAATCTTAACCAGTTCCTATCACTTTTTAGGACTTTGGCCTTTTCTCTTCCATAAAACTGGTTTAGTTCATACTCATATCAGTCATATGCATTTCAATTCAATACAAGCTTTATTGATCAACCCCATAATAAAAATTAGATGCGTAAAGACTGGTAACAAAACATAGAGTGTGCAAAATTAAATAGATTAAAATACGTCTTAACGGAGCAGTAAAGCAATTATGTCTTTGAGCAATTACAATATTTTAAGCGATTTACCGTCTACCGACAACAATTGGATGGCATTCGTCGTGCTTTGCAAATAATAGCGAGTGCTCAAAATCCCGTATAAATTATGGGAAAATGTGTGTCGCACGGCCTGAGCTCACATTCTCAGCTTGTGCTTGTGGACGTGCCTTTAAATAATTTTAAAATATATTGTGACCATCAGACCACGGCTGTAAATAGAACCGGTACTTATGAATAGGTACTTATGAGATTCCAAATTCTATAATATCTCATCTGCAATCACTTATATACCACTCGGTCCACTCGGTTATCATAATTATTAGTTAGGTACCACCCAAAGTAATATACATTGTAATCTATACAGTAGATCTAAATAACAGTTGCTTGCTACTGAATTAAGAATTTAT